GGAAAAAAATGTTCACTCACAAGAAAGTATCATGGCCTGTCTTGTTGTTGATGATCATCTGGAATTTTTCCAAAGACAGTTTTTAGCATTACCAAACTTTGCACTAAGACTAGATTATTATGATATTTCTTGTTTCTGCATCCATTCCTTACTAAAACCTGAATATACAGATACAGGAAATAAGTTTTTAAAACGTTTACTCAAGTTTATCCTTGGAAAAAAGCTTGACTTATTTGAAATGAGTGTTACTTTATCATAACTGCTTGCTTCTTTTTTTATTAGCAAACCTCTATTTCTGCCTTACAAAAATAGAATATAAATGATTACGTAAAATAGGAATTAAATGAAGACTATCTCCCCAAAGTATTTTATTCCGTAGCTTCTGAAAAATACTTTTACATGGATCACATACAGCAAGTCAATGGCAGAGCCAGGAATAAAGCTCAAGGGTCTTGACCCTCAGTCTGTCTCTATCATCACAAGATAATACCACCCCCCCCCGTTACAAAGTAAACACAAGAATTAGCCCACCCCCAAACCCTGTCATTTACATTTATTTAGTCTTCATTGGGTACATCGACACATTGCTCTAGAGTCTGCAGCTGTGGGATGCTGCTGAGGCTGAGAGTCCCCTCAGCTGAGCAACTCCCAGCCCTGGGTGTGCATGGTGCACTCCTACGGCTGAGAGCTTGGACAGCTGATGGGGATCACAGCTGCAGGAGCAGACCCTGCTACACATGCAAATTAAAGCTGGATAGTAACCAGCTATAAAGTTAGATGTGTTCAAGGTCTAACATTATAATTGGGTGAACCTTTTTATGGTGATAGATAATTTGTATGTGTAGCTGGTCCCAGTTAATTGTGTAATAACTGTAATGAAGACCAATAACCCAGATTACCCCTTTCCTTGCCTTACAAAGACAATTGAAAATTTTTTGAAACTAACCTTCCGGAGTTTCTTTCAGAGTACTTATTTGGGGAGGGAAGACCAAGAATGGGTTGTTCCTCACGCAAAACCAGGGTATTCAGGTGATCCCAGTTATCTAACAGGTATTAGCTCTGTCTCTGAGCACTTCACCATGGCTCATCTCAGTGCTTTTTCTGGCTGGATACTGTCTCAAGAGCCTCCCTGCTAAACACAAAATACAGGGTCTCACAACATGAAGGAACTGCAAAACAAAAATTAATTATTGGTTTCATGAGTTCAACTTCCCAGCAGAATCCTTGTGGGAGTTGTGGAGAGGCAATATATAGAGAGCTCCATCCCCTGTCCATTCTCTCCTTAACAGTAGGTGGGTGTGTGCCTGGGGGAAAGCCAAGCAAGGCAGTAAATATATCACTCTTTTTCCATGAACTCCTCCTCCCATAGAAGTCTCTTAATATTGGTTTCTCCACATGTGGGAACAGAGGGATAAGTCAGTATCCACATTTACTCTCCTTAACTTTCTTAATACAAGTAACAAACTTGAGGTTTTTTAACATATTTCTAGTAACTTTTAATGGTTTTGCAATATCTTAACACAAATAATAATTTGCACAGCACCACAAGTGCTGGTTATAATTTTAAACATAATAGATTTCCAAGATATTAATACTGTCATAAGTATAAATATGAAAAAGAACACTATTAGAACTGCACCATAGTGTAGCATCCCTACCGGAGTTTTATAATGGAACTTCATTCAACACAAAGTGCTTAATAATTTGGATGACTGTTGAAACAGTCTTCAGTCAAGGAAAACTTGGTTTAGCTCCTACTGAGAGAGATTCCTTTCATCTCTTCTGGTGAAAGCTGATGCCTGTAGACTGTGATTTGGTGCTATCTCTATTGGCAATACAAAAAGCTATTCAAACTTAACGTTTTTGAGAGAAATGTATTTAAATATACTTGTAGAACTGTTTTGCCACATGCACGAGCCAAGCCAGTGTGGTAAATGGGCCGAGTGGTAAAATGTCAGCAGAGGCCTGTTCCATTCTGTTTTTGTACAGATTCTTGTACTACCGCATCACCCTTCCAGTGATGCTGGCGTAATGTGACTAAATCGGTCACAAGTGGTTTGTTTCCTTTCTCCTGCTCTACTTAAGAGCAGAATCATGTGTACGATGTAGTGCCCTACTTTGGTAGGCTTTTTCCAATGGATTTAGTGCTTTGTGTTAGAAAGCAAGGTCAGAGAATTGCCTCTTGCATTGGATCGAAGGTGAGGAGCTTGGTGATGGTTTATTAGGAGCTCATACCATGATCTAGAATGGCCCATAAGAAAACTCTGTCTTGTGCACAGGTCAACTTTATCCTTGCTTCAGAGGTGTCTGACCACAGTCAGAATCTCATAATAACCATTAATTATTTACTATGGGGTGGCTTACCTTAGCTGATCATTCCTATTCTTGCTATTCCTCCCCCCCCGCCCCCTCCCCCCATGGCAGTTAGCATCCACAGAAACCAATACCATCATACAGAATTCATAAATTATGATGAAGTAGCTTGCATTCCTCATAGGAGTCCTTTTGATGATACTCATCAATAGGGTACTTTTAAGCAGAGGCTGAAACCGCACTTTCAAGGAATCAGGAGATAGAATATGTCTGGCTGAAACAAGAGATAGAAAGCAGGACAAGAACATTCATTATTCAAAAGGTTGTCCCAAACTCTAATCCAAAATATATTCATCTTTGGTGTGGTACCATGTGAAAGGATTTGATGCAGAAAGTGTGTGCATGTGCGTGCATGTGCGTGTGCGTGCGTGTGCGTGTGTTAAAGCCTCGACAACCACAATCCATAGAACCTCATGTAACAGGATAGTTGATAGCTAAAATTAATCAGTTAAAATTTTAAAAATTGTATTTATAGCAGGTATTACCAGGCTGCTCCCTCCCATTGTTTCCAGTTACAGTAGCTAGAATTTTAAAAAAATGGAGGCTCTGCCTCATTCTGTTCAGTGTGTAAGTTTCCTTAGTTGTGAACCTTAAACATAAGTCTTCAGATGAAGAAATCAAACTAATGAATATTATATTGTTGCAAGCAAAACTTTTGTCTCTCAACAATAAAAGGCTTTCAATTATTATCATCTTTCAAAGCTGCCACAACAGTGACAAGAGCACCAATACTTGGACTTCTCTGAACAAACCCCCACCATTGTCTTGGCTTCTACTATTTGAAACAGTCTTCTTTTTTCTGTTGTTCTGCAAATCTCATTGCAAAACAACATATTTCCCCAGCTATGACTCTTAATTCCTCCTTTTTAAAAAACTTTTGGGGACCTCATGACTGAATGGCTTAATATATTCGCTCTACAATCTCTTTTTCTTGATAATTTATGCTGTATAATGCCTTGTATTATTTCTGTAAAGTATTGTGAAGGATGCTACGATACAGCAGTGCTTTATTGTGCACACATAAGCCAATTACTATCTTGATTCAGGATGATTAACCAATTCCCACTCTCAACAGTACATTTTCACACATTAACAGAGTTCTCCTTGAATATTTTTTATTTAGAATCTTTTAACAGCAATGAAGAGGTAAGTTTGGAGAGATGTTCCATTTACCACCCAACTCAAAACAGCAACTAGGTTGTTGAATAAAGCTGTTTGGGGAATCTCTGATGAACCATTTTTTTGATCAGAAAATGACAATGTATTGAAATAAAAACATCTCACAGAGACTGCTAGATGTTGGTGAAGTTGTGATAGAACTGTGCATACTTGGCAAATTTTTGGAGTCCTGATTTATAGTTTACTCATCACTAGAGCAGGGGGCTGGGGAACTGGAGCTGTGGGATTCCTAGGAGTTGCACTTCCTAAACTCCTGGTTCTGCCAGGGCTGGTACCACTCCCAGACTTTCACAGATCACAAGGGGAGCTGGAAACTTCATTACCCCAGCTGTCAGAATCAGAGACTCCTAGGTCTGTTGGGGTTTCCATGCTTCTGTCTCAGCCTGCCAGGAAGAACTGGAGGGCTAGAAGTGCCAGGTATCAACTGTCAGCAGCCTGATTAGTGGACTTCCCTGAGCACAGACCACAAATCTCTCAGGGTCTGTGATGGTCCACTAGGTAGATTGCTTCAGAGTCATGAAGTCCAGGTCTGGGACATTTGGTCTGCTCTCCTTGTGCCAAAGAATTTCAAAAGGATTGTGTTCCAAATCAAAGTATCCAAATCAAATCCAAGTATTGAACTTCTTCATTAGTGTGACCATTTTTAAAATAAGAAAATTGGATTTTAAGACCATAAAATAGGTGTGGCACATAGGAGCTGTGATGGAATTTTAAAGCTATTTTATTTTTTTTAAAAATGATGAGATTTCAAGTCATAAAAATCCCTTTAAAGGCTTTTAAAACCATGTCAGATTTTATATTTGAAGTCTGCTCTCCACCCCTTGCAGTGAACAGCATCAAATGCCACTGAGGTTTGCTATTTTCTGTGTGACATCTCCAGTTGACATCAAATGTTTTCACTGTAACCTGTGGGGGCTGGGGTGTTGGGGTCACTAAGGCACAAGGTTGACAGCCTAGAGGTTGCAAATTTGAGGCCATACTAGACATGCTTACTGCATGGCCTGTTAGATTCCAGTGAATCTGAGAAGTCTGCTAAATTCCTTATCAGAAAAAAGGAAAGCATACCGTTATACTTTTTACTATTGTAAAAAAGGGCAAGGGGGGCAGTAAAATTGGAAAGGATATGTAATACAGAATCCAGAAAGGGACACAAAACTTAATCATTTTGAACAAATCAAATTATAAAAGCATCATCTCAGAAGGATAGGAGAACAAGTAGCCATTTTCTATGACTTAATATTTAGCATTAAAATAGCACTTATAGAAGTGGCATTAACTAATTCACCTTCACTGCATCTGAAGAAGTAGGTGGGCTTTTTTTTTTAATAGGAAACTGAGGCAGAGGGGTAGTGACATTCCTTAGGCCAAACACAAAGCCAGTAGTAGAACCAGGAGTAGTACTTGGGGCAGTGGTTTCTACTCCCCTGCTCATAATGGTAGCTAATTCTGCCTCTCATAACTTACCAAGTGCACTACAGGCACATGTTGTTTTGAAGATAGCTGGAGATAGGCCTGAAACTTACCTTTTAAGTTGATCAATATTCTTAACAATGTAGCATGAAAGAAGGGTTACTTATTTTACAAAACAAGCCCTGAATACTCTGAAAGAATCTGAAGGGATTTTTTTCCAATTTTTCTCTTTTATTTTTAATACATCACAAATATACTTGAATATCCCATAAATAGCAAGCACATACTAGTTTTCTGGCCAGGTAAGTATTTTATGTAAATTAATAATTCAGCCAAGCATCTCAAAATATTTTATAGAGGCAGGTACTACTATCCGTATGAAACAGAGTTCTTGAGATTTGTCTTATGCCACAGAAGCTCAATAGCAGTTGTGCAATGAATCTTGGCTGACTGGTTTCAAGTCTTCTGCCCTACCTTCTGTCCCATTCTATTTCTCTGCATGTATCTTTGCCTTTGCATACACACAGATTTGTTTCTGGAATTCTCTCGCTATTGTTCTAGTCCTAGTCTAGTCCACAGGGATGCTAGTGACAAATATGTACAGACATTTTGGCCATTGTCTCATTTGACCCAACTCAGAGCAGGCCCAGATGACTTGGTAAGAGAAAAACTCCAGTAGCTGATACACACTAGTGCTTCCACCATTCTTAGCATTAGTGTAATTGCACTAGTGCTTAAACAATGGTGGATAGAGTCTTTAAATTCTCAGGGTGCACAAGGCCATTTTGTATAAGGCAAACATATTTGCCATTAACACAACATCTGTATGAGCTATGATCACTGTAACAGGGGGCCTACCGGGGCCGATCTCTGTGTGGCCCACCCACCTGTTCTTGGGCTAACCGCCCGCTTTCTCGCCCGCCACACCTTGGTCTTAATAGATTAATTAATAGATGTTATTAGGCGGGAGGCTACCCATTTTCTGCCCTGCTGCTAGGGGGCGCTATCTGCGGCTCCATTCCTCCCCTACACCGCAGCCCAAGCCTCGCTGATGACATCATGATGTTCTCATACGTGCCAGTCCCCCACAATGGGGCCCAGAAGCCTGCTGTAGGACCCCCAACTGAGTTCCTCCCTTCAGGCAGACTTTGCCACCATCATACCGGGCCATATATCTCCCTGCCACCGGTTCCCCTTCAGGTGTGGTCCCCTCACTGGGACCTTTGGCTCACACTAGCTCTGGCCCACCTCCAGGCCAGTCGGGACCCCAGGGCCCTGGCTCTTGGGCGTCCCTCTCAGTGGGCCTCCTTGCCCTTCTGACCCTCCAGGTCCTGGCCCCCACCTGGGCCAGTCAGGAGAAGCTCTGGCAGGCCTTGATGTATGACTCATACTCTTATCCCAGGGTTCCCCTCTCTGGGTCCTCCTCCATGGATATGGGGAGCTGGGGTTACCTCAATGGCTGAATTACTTCAGACTGAATTAATTAATCTCCCAAGAGGCACTCTAATTAAAACACCCCCTACCCTGACCCTGGAGCATCTGTATAGGTACTCATTGAGACCAACCTAAGAAGTGACAGTATGCTGGGCATCCACTGAAAAAGGAGACCCAAGTTCAAGGCCCTCCTTCTAAATCAGGCAGAATTAGACTAGAATCTGGATCTCCCAAATCGCTTAATTACTGGACCACTTCCTTTCTGTCTTTTGTGTCTTCCACAACAGAATTCATAAGGACTTGGTTTTGTCCAAAACAAAACCAAATATCAAAACCCCATTTTTTTCCTGAAAAAGGGAATCCTTGTTTTCCAGTCAGCCTTGTTCATGAAAGGTGATACAACCAATTTTTAGGGAAAACCAGAGCTGCCATCGTCTACTGCCAGTATGCAAAAACTATTAGATGGAGGATTTGAGATCGACAATACTGGCCAGCTTGTATAAATATGAGGGAGCACGTCTCCATGATGGACAGGTCACCATGATGAGAGTCCTGTCTTAGGTGAAAGTACACACATTTGACCCTGCATTTTTATTTAGAGGCACCCCCTGAGAATGCTGGTGGACCCCCTGACAGGCCATGCTCCCCACTTAGGTGACAGGCGGGGGGAGGGCTCGTCAGAGCCTTTGTGCCCCCACTGTGAGTGCCAGCCAAGAAGTGGGAGCACTGCAGCCACTTCCAGAAGCACCACGGCCTCTTCCAGAAGCCAGGGCATGAGGTCGGCTGTGGGAGAGTGGGAGCGGGGAGGGACCCCCTCCGGTCGATGAGATTGGGGAACCCCCCTACTGGTCACTGACTGGTTGCTGGGGTGGGGCATGTACCCCCCCTGAGTAAGGTGGCACCAGTCGCCCATGATCTTATATCTAGATTGTGTTCTTTCTGTTCAGTCAAGACTCTTTTACAATCAGTATGGCCCCCTCTACATGCTACACCCAAGGTGTAATTAGCAAGATGATCATACTGTAAGGTGTGACCCAGCTACACATTCAACCAAAGAATGGTGTGATAAAACAAGCAATAAGCTACAAAGTTATTCCACAAACAATGTAATCATTTTGTAGTTTGTTCTAATCAAGCCATTCATTGAATGAGTGGCCAAATGCTCCCCTGTGGCTGGGAGCCTCATGAACTGAGGTGCTCCCAGCCATACTGGGGCATCACCCACTGCCAGCCCCACAGCTGAGAAGGCTGACAGTGGTGGCAGCATCATCAGCTGTGGGGCTTGAAGTTGGAAAAACATTGCCCTCCCTGCAAGCTTTGCCAGTGTGGGGCTCACAGCGGGGTCAGTGGTGAGAATGGTGTGGCACAGTAGGAGGCAAAATTGTGGTAATACTCTTATGGAAAGGAAGTGCAAGGTTGGAGAAGGACATATTACTGCTAATAATTTCTGATGGTTACATTGTTTTTAGAAGTTTGGTTGGTAAGGTTCATGGTCTATGTTTTTCTGATATCTACTTGTCACCTTACCACTAATTTCTCCTATGCTGGTTCCAAAGAGAAACTTTATCTTCATTATTACTCTTAAGTTTTTCCTCACTTAAATGTTTTACTGACTTGGTGCTAAAATAGATGTATATGCCTGATGGACATTAAAGAAAGGGGGAATCACCTTTTCTGTTATCTATTTATCCATCAACTTTAGATCCCTATTTAGACAGATTCATTTGCTAATTTTCAAAAAACTATTTCTTAAAAGTAATGTATAATATAGCCATCATGTGAAACTAGGATTTATTTTACTACAGTTAACCAGAATATATATATATATATTTTTTTTTTGTAAATGAGCCCGGGGGATTGATGGATTGATTAGACTTTATATGAGTGATGGGGATATTCACATCCCATAAATTTGGTAATTCTTATTAAGATAATTTTTGCTCCACATTTGACACTTAGAAAAGGTCTGAAATGACTGAATAGTTTAATCTAGATAAAGCCTAAATGCCTAGATGATTAAAGAATCTTTTCTGTACATCTTGCATCTCTAGTATTGGTCTAAAATTCTGACAAGAATAAAATAATTTGTGAGATTTGCCCTCCTTCCTGATTTCAGTGAGATTGAAAATAGTATACTGCAAAAATAACTTCCTCTCCTGGAATTTATTTTAGTACTGAAACTTTCATTCCCAGCTGGATTAGGTATAGAAAGAGCAAAAAATAATTGTAAAGAAAAAATCAACTGAATCTTACGAAGCTTCAAAAATGATTTAGTTTTGACTTATTTCAAGTTCTGGGTGAAAGTGTAGATTATGTCAGGTCTATGCTAATCTTTTTTTCCTTGCAAAAAAACCTATTTCTGTAACATACTTGGAGAATGATAGACTTACTTCTTTTTCTTTCCTTGAATGTTGCAGACAGCTCAGCTAAGTTGTTTATACCCATTTAAATTTTGTGTGTCAGGTTGCATGTCATAAAATTTAATGAAATTTAACGTAAGTGACAGAACACCACATGGTGCCTAAAATTTAAAGCATAATACATTCATTTTAGTATCTGATACTTGCTATCAGTTTTGATAGCTAGATAATTTGGAAATGCAGATGTTTAGCAAGGAGAAGATGATTATGAAATATTGGTGAATACTTCTTGGGCCTGCTCACTGCACATCTCACAGAATAATATAATAATTAATACAGGTTAGTAATTTCTTATTTAAAAACAGTCACATTAAATGTGACATTTGCATTACTGATATATTTTTAGTAAAACTGTGGATTAGGTACTATAACCAAAACAAATTATATAAAAGGAACATGTGGATATACAATTTAAATCAATTTTGGCTGAGGTCTTTCTTTGACCATTGTCAGACCTAAATTCTAAGACAAATTTTAAATTAGTTTCTATTTGTCTCTTTCATTATAAAGGGTGCTTTAGCTCTGAAGTTTGCAATAATTTTTATGTAATCACCTAATCAAAAGAGCTGCATTGTGGAGTCAGTGGAGACATCTAAATTTGTTGCCCTGTGGGGTCAGGCCAACTCTCAGGATCTGAATATTGCGCTGTTAGACATGAGGGTGTGACACAATTGCACATATACAAACACACAAATCAACTAGTTGCATACACACATGCACACACTACGGCTTAGGCACATACACATCCAAAACAGCTGAGGCACATGCACACCTATCACCAATTCAAGTACATACACTATACACCCCAAAAGTTAGACACAGATCACTAATTCATATATCATGCACACAATGACATATATATACACACACACACAACCCACCTACACATGCATACAGGTAAGTTCCTAACTTGGATGGTACAGTGTGTATGTGTGTGCTTGGGGTACCTGGGGTACTTGGGGGAAGGTTCAGGTGAGAGAGGAAGTTAAAGTGTAGGGAGTGAAAGTTGCCAGAACCGGGATTAGAACCAGTGGACTACAGAGAAGCTGGCTGAGGAGCTGAGGCTTGGGTTTACTTCAGGTGGGCTGGAAACTGAGGCAGACAGCTGAGATATTGGGGGGGTGGGGCAGATATGTGGTGGCAAGGAAGAGATAGCCAGGAAAGAAACTGAGGCAGAAACCTGGTTGCTCAGGGAAAAAGGAAAAGACAGTGGGGATAAGACAGTGAGAGGAACCAAGTATATATCTCCTGGCTCCTGGAGGCAGGAAAAATGGAGTCTCCATTGCTGCAAAACTGCCACACACACAAAAAAGAGCCCTGCAGTACTGAAAATGAGGGCTTTGGCCTTAAAGGGACAGTACAAGGAAAATACAATAAGACACAGTAGGGACAATGTTTCCTTGCCCTGTAGCAGGGAGCTCCCAGCCCTTGCTCCGTGGTTGTGGGGCCAGACTGGGAGATCCTAACCTTCCAGCCTGGTCCTGTGACTGTGGGACTTGGGCTGCGAGATAAAGATCTGCCAGTGCCAGCTCCACAATTGTGGAGTCGGCGCTTCAAGACAAGGCTCTGTGGGCCCAGGTCCCATGACTGCAGGGCTCAGAATAGGACATAAGGATCTCCCAGCCCAGGCCACAACTGCAGGACTCAGGCTGGCCAGCCCCATGACTAAGCAGCTGGTACTGGGAGCTCCCTGCTGCCGGGGCAGGGGGACATTGTCCTTCCTCCCCACCCTGCCCCAAACCTCCAGTGGCAAAGCCCACCCTGGCAGCAGGCAGCTCCTGGGGGCAGAGAGCAATCTCCTGCCCCCTGCTGGCTGGCTGATCAGGAGTGCATTTGATCCTGGTCAGGCATCTACATGTGCAATGCTGAGCAGTAACTACTCACAAGTAAATTTGCTACTTGCAGGTAGGAAATTTACTTGCAGTTATTGCCAATTACTGCACAACAGTCATATCTACACATTGCCGTAGAGTGATGTTGCTACAGCAGTGTGCTTTAGTACTTTCTTTTGGGAGTATTAATACATGGCATAGTACAGGTGGTTACTGCACTGTGAGTGTGGCACAAGGGTACATTTCACCAATATGTTGCCATAGTGGTGTGCTATACCTGGGGAATGTGCTACACACATGATTGCTACATCACTGTAGTGCACTGTACACCACCATAGCATGTCACTACACCCCCATAGGGCTATGTGTAGATACACTGAGTAAGCATATGCACATGTAAATGCGGATACGTACTGTGCGGTAATTAGTATTACTGTGAAGTAAAATGTCTTGTGTAGATGAGACCAGTAAGTTGCAAGTATTTTATGTTTATAGGACCAAATTACATACTGTGATAGGAAGGTACTGGAGAGGAAGACTCCCAAGACACCCTTCATAGATTCCACCGAAGTATTTCATCAGTGTCACAGTGTTTGTTCCTCTGGGAAAAAAGCTATAGAGTTAGCAGCCCCAGGATGTGACATAGGCAAGTTAGGCTCAAATTCGTGCAGATACAGGTTTAAAAACAACAGATCAAAAAGGAGTGATATTCACTGTGATGATGTCTATCATGTTTATTTCACTAGTTTTCCTTTCTCTAAGGTTCAGTCCTGTTGGTGTTAGTTCCTCCTTGTCCCAATCCTTTCTCTGGAATTATGCCAACTTGGTCATTACTATGTTATTTAGAAATGATTCCTTGCTATTAGTATCTTGAAAATTAGGTTTTGTCAATGTGCATAAGATTAAAAATGCATCTTAACTTTGCACTAAAATACATATTTATAGATTCATAGATATTAGGGTCAGAAGGGACCTCAGGAGATCATTGAGTCTGACCTTCCACCACAGGCAGGAAAGAGCACAGGGGTTAGATAACCCCAGCCAGGTACATGTCCCATCTTCTTTTAAAGACCCCCAGGGTAGGGGAGAGCACTACCTCACTTGGAAGCCCATTCCAGATTCTGGCAACCCTTACTATAAAGAAGTTCTTCCTGACGTCTGACCTGAAGCTGCTCTATGTTAGTCTGTGGCCATTATTTCTATTTACTCCAAGGGGTGTCCAGGTAAACAGAGCATCTCCTATCCCTTGCTGTCAACCCCGATTAATTTGTAGATGGCCACAAGATCCCCTCTCAGCCTTCTCTTGTGGAGGCCAAAGAGATCCAGGTCCCTCAATTTCTTCTCATAGGGCCTTACCAGCAGGCTTCTAACCATATGAATGACCCTCCTCTGGACCCTCTCAAGGTTATCCACATCCCTCTTTATGTTCATATCTTACTTAGTATCATAAAAAAAATATTCTTCAGCATTTGTGAAGCATAAACCACTTCAAACTTCACCAAAAATGCATCTATCTTTGAATGTCTTTCCCTCCTTCAGTAACAGACTTTTTCCCAAGGCTTATGTGTATATAAGTTCCCTTTATCACAGGTGGACCTTCCTTTTCTGCCCCTTTCCTAAAGCTTCTGCCTTCAGATATTTCTGAGTGATAATTAAGTTGTCACTCTCTTGGCATGGAGTATAATCCTGAATCAAGTTATAACTAGCTTTCTCTTCATCCTTATTTCAGAGATCATACTTTAAACAAACCTTAATTCTTAGTGGACACATCTACATGAGATGCTACATCACCATAGTGACAAGCTACAGTGACATAGTTCATTGCTACAGCGATGCAGCATCTGAGGGCATGAACTGTGACACAACCACTAATGAGCAGTAGGGTCGGAAACAACCCATGTGGCATGGGAACTGCAAAGTACTGGCAGTTACTGTGCAAGCAAGTACTAAATTACTGCTGAGTAACAACTGCTCAGTCAGGCTCACATGTAGATGCTCCCAATAATACCTATCTCTATCATATATTATTCCTTGACCAAGCAAATCTCATTCTTAGGTATGAAAAGGTGTCTCCAAAGAAACTAAAGAACATTGTTCATCCCAATGTACAACACTGCATAATGGGACACCATATGTAGTGCAGGGAGAACAGTTTTGCTAGAATACTAAAGAAGGACCACTTGTATGGCCAGTTTCCTGTTTCTAACCAAGTTGTTATATATTTTGATAATCTTCAGTAAAAGAAGATTATGAAACAAATGCTGAGGAGTCAAATCTGAAATTTGTATGCTAAGGGCAGATCTATATCTAATTCATAAATGAAATTCTATTTTCTGGAAATTATAGAGAATATTACTATGCTTTCATTTTTATTGTGTTTGTTTAAACACCTAACCATCTTTTCCTGTTTAATCAGAATTAAAACATGTTCATTTTAATTTCATAGTGGTACAAATGATTTAGGCAGTTTGTGTCAAGAAGCTAGTTTTCTATCAGTCCAAATGGGAAACCTACTTGCTATACTAAGAATAAAATGTGATTATTGTGAAAAAACAATAGTACAATCTATGCTTGATTTAGTTATAAATAAGTCTTTGAAAGATGTTTTCCCTTTCTTATTTTATTTTAAATAGTGGCTATGTAAAGCCCCAAGAAGGATCTAGTCCTGTTAATATCACAAGCTGTTTCCCCACCTGCACTCGGAACAGCTTTAGTATAGCAGCTGTCTTGGTTAGTGTTGGCACACAGCTGTCAGCATAGTTTCCCCATGGTTTCTATAGAAAATGAATAGAACGCATCTCCAATGGGAGCCTTTAATAATTCTCAGTCTCAAAAGTTGCCATGTCTGGCACTGGTCTTTTAGACTGTGCAAGGTGAGACATTTCAGAAAGATTATTTAAAGCCAATCAACTTTTGAGTGTTCTTTTTTCTTTTCAAAGAGAGGTTAAAGAAACAGTGCTGATCTTTGCAATTTGTCCTTAATGTTGATTAGAAGCAGGCTTACATTAGTGCCTCTTGTCCAGCTTTTAGGACTAAATGTTGTAATTCACTTAGTTCAAACTAGTTTAACCTCCAACCTGCATGTATTTAATTTATATTATCATATTTATAAATACTGGCTGTGAAAAATTGATCTGAGTTTCAAC